CGGCTTCCCCGCTCCAATACCTGGGAGCTCTGCCGCACTCAGGCACCCCCGGTCTTTCTGTGACCCCGAGGGTCCTGAGACCACACCATCCCGGAGAGGGTTCCAGCCCCCACTTAGCCACTGGAGCGACATCCCTCAGCAGAGCCAACTTCTGAAAGTTCCAATTTTGTGCTCCACAGCTCTCACTTGCCAGAAGTGGCTGCCAAAGGCCCCCCACCCCCACCATCTATCCTCCCCAATATCACCTCGGATTCACCTCTCCGCATGTCCTACCTTCCAGAAAGTGGTCGCTTTTCTGTTCAGAGAGTTGTTGATATTCTTTTCTTCGATCTCCTGTTGAGTTTGTAGGTGTTCAGAATGGTTTGGTCCCTATCCAGCTGAATTCCTGGAACCAGACGAAATCCAGGTCTCCTACTCCTCCGCCATCTTGCTCCAAGATTCGGTAGTTTACATTTTTAAGAGTTGTTTGTTTGCCCTCAGTCTTGTTAAAAAGGAGACAACAGACCCAGAATGGAGTTACTTGTGCTAAACCCACATCGCCAAACTGAAACCAATACGTAATCTAACTGCAATTTCAACCTTCTCTCCAATGTAATTTTAACTGGTTAGTCTGGAATTTCCTGGTCAGCACTAGTGAGGTAATCCCTTAATAGACCCCTTTTCTCCCCCAAAGGAAGGTGACTTTGCCCAAAATAATCCTTTTCCTTATTTATGACTTCCTTTTGCCATCCTCTCTCTGCCTTTAAAAACCTTTCCTTTTCTGTAGCTCTTTGGGGCTCCTTCCTATCTAAGTGGGATGCTGCCTTATTCATCAATCATTCAATAAAGCCATGGAGATCTTTAAGATTTACTTGGTTGAATTTTTATTTAACAGTCTGATCTCCCAGGGTCAGGACATCTGGACCCAAATTACCCAAATTAATTTTCATGGTTTACTTAATATTTTAAAAGCACATTCTGAAAATCAGTAATTAAACCTTCTTGCTTTCTGAATTTTTTTCTCTGACCCGTCTGTGAATTTGTCTAAACTAAAATTCATTTAGATTCCTTAAATGGTGGTATTAATTAGGATCTAAAGCCTGGAGCAGCTGTAGTAAGAAGTATTGGAATGACTTGTGAAAACAGCATGTGAGTGTGTGTGTGTATGTGTGTGTGTGGGAAGGCAGAAGAGAGAAAGAAAAGTTAGTATATATTTAGAGGTAGAGAAGTAGAATTATACCTTTCTATAGATGTTTTGGGATTCTATTCTCCCCATGAATTCTCACCTCAACGACTAGGGTCAAAGGGCTAGGAGATAACCCAAATAAATAATTGGGCCTCCCTTAGAGACTGGTTGTGCACCGAGGCAGAGAAAGCTGATTGTATAGTGATATTTGAGTTAATCTATGTGGTTTGCTAGGTGATCAGAGCCTGGAAGTACCGGTTCTAACATGGTCTCCAGAATATTGAGGCAACTGAATCATTTGATATGAGCCCCTTTGGATTGCTTATGGGCAATTTGGCAATTCAAAACAGCCACTGTTTCATAGGAGAGAACAAATGAGGGCAATGTGAAAGTTTTAAGAAGGATGTGTCATGTTTCACCATAGAGATTTGGGGTTTTCTAAGTCTGAAATTGCAAGATTACAAAGTGAAACTAGCAGGGGGTCTAAATGCTCTTGAGTTCTTAAGTTATTCAACTGGAAAAACAAAAATTTAAACCCTACATTTAACATTTGAAATGTTTAGAGTCCAATTTAGTATAAATGAATTCTTTTAACAGACATTTATTGAGCACCTACTGTATTTTTTTTGAATTGGCAATGGAAACCTAGACTTTTTTTTTAAAGCCCAAGAACTCCAATTTGGCAAATATTTGAGGATTTGTTCTTTTTTTTTAAGATTTTTATTTATTTATTTTTGCAGGATAGAGAAAGCATGCACATGTGCACATGAGCAGGGGGTGGGAGGGTAGAGGGAGAAGCAGACTCCCTGATGAGCAGGGAGCCCAATGCAGGACTTGGACTCGATCCCAGGACCTTGGGATCATAACCTGAGCAGAAGTCAGACACTTAACCAACTGAGCCACCTAGGCACCTGAGGATATATTCTTGTAAACCATCTGGCCATAGAGCCATGAAATAGTATTTCTAGTGGTTAATATATCAAAAATTGTATACTGTTCTTTTATGACATCAACTTATCTCTATATCATGCCTTAATTTTCCTGTATTTTATGTTTTAATAATAAGAGAAATCAGCTGCATTCAATTTTAAAATCTTGCTTATTTTCCTTGGTGTTGTTAAGGAGCGACGCAAATTTGGTCCCTTAGGATGGAATATTCCCTATGAATTCAATTCTGCTGACTTTGCAGCCAGTGTCCAGTTCATTCAGAATCACCTTGATGAATGTGATATTAAAAAAGTGAGTGAAATTGTTATTTTTTCCCATTTTTATTGCTTTCCTCAAATCAAGGTTCTACAGACATTTTCAGTCTATAATACACAGTTGAACCCCCTGAGGTTCCCCCTACCTCCCCGAAAAGGGACTGCTCATTCTAATCCATCGTTCACTGGTCCAGCCATTTCCCCTCACTCCCCTACTGCCCCTAGGAGTGCGTTTGGACCCTAATCTCAGACTTGTGTTCCCCCCTCTCGTCTCTCTCCTGTGCACATACAGCAGAGACAGACCACAAATGATGCAATTCATTGTGTGCAGAAACTCCACAACCTTCCTCATATCCCACCTAACTGCCCCCAGTGCACTTGAATAGAATGTACACCTTAAATCAGACTTTTCTTCCAGCATCTCAGTGATGCCTCTTCAGAAGTGAAAATGTTATCTTAGCCCACACAAGAGTTCTTTCTCAGGTTTAGTCACATCTTAACAGATGTTTAAACTTACACAAATAGATGGCAATAATTTCTAATAATAGTCACTGATCATTGTCCAGCATTTCACAGTTCTCAAAGTGCTCATGCATGGAGGATCTCACTTGAAACTTCCCAATTCTGTGAGGTCAGCACAGAGGGCATTACTGTTATCCCCATTTTACTGATGAGGTAATGGACAAAAGAGAATAAAGGACTTCCTCCAGGTCACAGACCTAAGAACACAAGCCAGTTGTCCCTCCACATGTGTTAAAAAGGGTTGGAAGTCCATTTTCTCTATGATCTAGAGCAAGTTCATGAGCCTCTCAGAGCCTGTTTCCTCATCTACAAAGCGGTCTTGGTTTCTGTAAAGAATAAGTGAATTAGCATTTGTGAAAGCACAGTATATGGTGCACAATAAGAACTCAGTAAATTCCAGTTTCCTACTGTCTCCCCTTCTCTTCTTTCTCATAGTAGATCTTGAAGCTAATTATAGATCCTGGAGTATCAGTATGGTGATGGTAAGCCATGATGAATTTTTATGTGGGCCACTGGAGGATCTAGAAACCATTATTTTTCCTTGAAGTTACAAAGGGATATTAAATTGAGTATGACAGCTTGATGAAAAATTACATTTTATGCATTCATACTCTGTTATTATTTATCATTTTGTATATACAAATAATAGTTAACCTCGAAATAGATGTTTTGAAAGGCAGTAGAGCTGATGAATCAAAATTTAGCCAAGAGAAAGTAAATTAAAAAAAAATCAAGCATTCTTACTTTTCCTACCCCAAATGTATTGAGTAAAAAAAAAAAACAAAAAACTATTAATATCTGTAATGTATTGCTAGGATAAGATTGCTATGGAAATTAATAAATACTTTGATTTAGTTATAGCTCACAGAATGAGACAGCAAAGGATTGCATTGTAGAAAAATGCTGTGAATGAATAATTTTCTGGTTGTTCTCATACTGATTCAGAAAATATACAACTAAGAAAGCATATTAAACCATTGATTACTTGATTTTTTCCCACTTTCTTCACTAAACATGACTTTTTTCTAACAGCTTGGCATTACTATAATGAGTGTTATAGATGATTACATCCACAGAGTGAAAAAAATAGTCTTCCCCCCACATTTTAAATGATCAGTGAGTAATATATTCACTTGATATTTAGTATTGTAGATTTTTCTTTGGTGACCAAACCCTGGCAGTTTCAGTCATGTAATAGCAAAAGAGCTACTAAGAGAAGATTATGAGTCATTTTAAATGTGATCTAGTTTGTGCTTCCTTTTTGAGACGTTTTCTCCAGGGAAAGACCTGAAATGTTCAGAGTTTCTTGTTTGGATTGACAATGAATAATCTTTTGTATTTTTAATAAAGGGTGTATCATGGAGTACTGTTCGGTACATGATTGGAGAAGTTCAATATGGAGGCCGAGTGACAGATGACTTTGATAAACGTCTACTTAATTGCTTTGCTAGAGTAAGTCAATTTACAGAAAAAGCTTGGGACACATTTCATTGCATTTTCATTTTAAACAAGAATATTTGTTTGTTTGTAAATCAGTGAGCCAAACTTAAGGGGGAAGAAACCCAGAGAGCATAACTGCTGAAAAGAAACAGCCAACAAAACCCAAACCCAAACCAAAGCCAAAGCCAAACCAATTAGCTATCTTACTTGTGGTCCAGAACACAATAGCCGTCAACTTTCAGTGGTCTGTAAATTTTCCCCTGTATAAATGAATTGCTTCTTTTCAGGGTCTCTCCCCACTGCCCCTCCTCCATGAAAACATGACAATTTATTTGCTACTTCCTCTGAATGCAAGTCTCATGAAGATTTCAAACCCCCAAATAAGTGACTGGAGAATTAAGCATAATTCGAGTATTCTCATCTTTTCCATTAGGACAACTGAAAATTGATGGAGTGTTCATTTTTCCCTCTGTGCCCAGTAAAATCTACATACATCACATTGGCAAACATTTTCTAGAGAAAATTATTCCTTAGCATTTACAGTTTTCACGTCAGTGATAAATTGTATAAATATATGTACAAGGCTCAAACTCTTCTTAAAAGTTTTACATGTTAAAGAAGCAATATACATTACCTAAGTGGAAAAATCAGATTTATGAGTATTTTATGGTTATTTGAATTCTTTACAGTAGGATCTATATTGGTAATTCTCTGTTTCAATGATTTTTTTTCGCCCCTAACAAAAACAGCAAAGCATAAACTTTGGGGGTATTTTGGTAAATTGGAGGTTGACCAGGAATCTGATTTTTCTTTCAATCCTTATTTATTTTTGCAAGTTTTTCTTAATGCCATATGTGGAGAAAGGTGGATGGTGATAAGTGTTGTGTGGAGGTGGGAGCCTGGCTGCTGGAGATTAAGTCAGTACAGACCTCCTAGAAAGCAACTGGGCAAAAGTTACTGAAATTAAGTATTCTAGGTAGACACATCCCAGAACATTTCTAGAAAAAGTCCACAAATGGACATATACAATAATGTTTATGGCAATATGTATGTGGAACTGAAGGTAACCATCATAGGTTGGGCTGCCTGTGGATTCCCCTTCCCCAGGGTATGACCTTGGTTGAGGCAGGCTCCCTTCTGCCAGGTCAGTACCTTGGGAGGGACAATGTGATGAGCCCTAGGTAGCCAATCCTCCAGACAGCTGAGGAAGTGAGTGCCTGGGTCCTGAAGAAGGAACTGGTGGTGCATTGCAACATCCCCTACAAATGCCTAAGAATCCTAAGAAGTAGGGAGTGAGCACAACGGAATACTATTGCTCACCCTTCTAGGGTACAATCTGGTGGCATTTAGTCATATCAAGAGCGTGATACTTTCTGAACCAGACTCCCTGAATATATGTCCCAGAGAAATTCGCAAATTGTGGAGATCAGGACTGAATGGGGAAAAACAAAAATAAAAGGGGCCTAGACTCTGGGCACCTGGATGGCTCAGTAGGTCTGACCCTTGATTTTAGCTCAGGTCATGATCTCAGGGTTGTGAGACTGAGCCCCACACTGGGCTCCGTGCTGAGCGTGGAACCTGCTTAAGATTCTCTCTCTCCCTCTCCCTTTGCCCCTCCCCATTGCTTGCTCTCTCAAAAAAAGGGGGGCCTAGACTCATGAAAATGATAAAATAAATATGATAAACTCACCTCTATATCTGAGGTTTAAAGGAATAAGAAGATGTCTTGTATACTGTGTGTTAGAAAAATTGCAAAAGTACCAAAAATTGGAGTTTCAGTACTCGAGATTCTGAGAAGTGGTTAGATTTTCCATATATTGTACAGCTACTACCAGCAGAATGCTGACAGTGAAAGATGAGGGGGTCAAGAATCACTCCTAGCTTTGACTTAAACAACTGGGTAGAGAATAGGACTATTTACAGAGGAGAAGGGCTACAGAAGGAATGAGTTTTATTGGCTGGGGCCAGAAATTAGAAGTTCTGTTCTGATCATGTAACTTTTGAAATGCCCACTAGACACCCAAATGGAGTTGTATAACACTGAAGTTCCCTAAAGGCAGGGACTTTGCCTGATTACATCACTGCCAGATTCCCAGCATGCAGAGCAGAACCTAGAACATACTACATGCTCAATAAATATTTGTTGAATAAGAGAATGAAGGAAGGTAAACAAGGCAGTTGGATTTACAGGTCTGGAGCTTAGGAGAGAGGTCAGGGCTAGAGAAAAAGTGTTGGAATTTGTCAGCATATAGATAGCATTTGAAGTCAAGATAATGGATGAGAGCATCATCTAAGAAGAAAGTGTAGAGAAAGAAAACAAGCTAAAGACAAGGCTTTGAGTATTTTAATGTATCAGGAAAGAAGAAATGGTCAACTGAGAGAGGTCAAGGAAGATGAGGAAAGGGACTTTACCTGTACTTAGTATTTGCCTGATAAATCTTTAAAAAACATAACCTACTTTTAAGAAATATTAAATATACAGAAAAATGTATAAAACATAAATATATAGTTTACTAAGTCTCTTCAAATAGACATAGAATATTTCCAGCTCCCCCAAAGACTCACGCATGTCCCTTCTCCATCACAACCCCCCCATTCCCTCAAGGTAGCCACAATTCTGACTTATACAAACTGTTTCTTTCTCACTATACTTTTACCATCTAAGTAAGTACTCCTTATTAACATAGTTCGGTTTTGCCTGTTTTTGAACTTCATATAAATGGAACCATAGAGTATGTTTTCATTTTGGTGTCTGGCTTCTTTTTCTCAATATGGTATTTTGAGATTCACCCATGTTGTGTGTACTCTACTCATTATCCTTTCCTGTGTTGGGTTCCATTGTATTGTATTGGTGGAAATTAGGATTGTTTCCATTTGGAGCTATTACAGATAATGCATCTGGGGACAGTCTTGTACAAGGTTCTTGGAGCGCATGAATATACCTTTCCAATAGGAGCGGAATTGCTAGGTTATAGGGTTTGCATACTTTCCATTTTAGTCGATCACATCAACCTGGTTTCCAAAGTGTTGTTCCAAGAATACATCCAGCAGAAGAATGAGATATCTCATTTCACCACATCTCACCAACACTGGGCATCATTAGTCTCTTAAATGTTAGCCATTCTGGTGGATATATAATGGTATCTCACTCTGGTTTTAATTTTTAGTTCTCTGAATGCTAATGGACTTGAGCACCCTCACATGTTGATTCACTGTTTTAGTTTTCTCCTTTGTGACTTGCTTGTACATTCTTGCTTCTATTTCTCTTAAGTTATGCATCTTTTAAAATATTGATTTACAGGAGCTTTTTGCATATTCTGGATGTAATTTCTTTGTTGATTATGTGGTTGTAAATTTCTTTTCCCACTCTGAGCCTTTCCTCTTCACTCTTGTATTAGTCTTTTAATGATTAGAAATACTTAATTTCAGTATACCTGGTATATATTTTTCTATTCCTTTTATTTCAACTTTTCTGTGTCATTATGTTTCAGATTTATCTTTTATAAACAGCAAATAGCTGGAATTTTTAGTATCTACCCTGAAGTTCTCTGTATTTTAATAGGCAAATTAATCATTTTATTGCTGTGATTACTGCTATGTTTTGACTTATTCTTCCATCTTATTTTGTGGGTTTCATTAGCCATACCTTTTTTTGGCCTTTTTTCCTTCTTTAAAAAAACATTTTTTTTTTATATTTCTGTATTGGTGAAATCTAACTCTACATTTTAGGCTTTACCTTCGAGCCCTTCTGACTTGTATCTTCCATATTACTGCTATGGAGCATTTTGGCTCTTCCTCATTTTTATTCCCATCCCTGTTACTTATTAAGGTAATTTTACAACCAGTGCTGATTTAGATTTACCAATATGTGTACTGGCTGTTAGAAGGAGGGCAGCCCATTCCTTGGGCTGAAGCCTAGGAAACCTATGGGTGGCAGAAACAGGGAGGATTGGTGGGGGAAGATGGGGTTGTTTTCTTCTAATTGTACCTATGCTCAGAGTGAAATAAGAAGCATCATCAGCTAAGGGGATGCAAGTCATCAGCTGAGGGGAGGGGATGGCAAGTTTGGGACATTTGAAGAAAGGCAAGAGATGTGAAGTAGTTGCCTTGGAGAGTGGGAAAGGGAAATATGTGATCCTAATACATACACTCGGCCTCCCCCACTAGATTGTAAGGCCATTAAAATAAGAAACAGGTCATCTAAGTCTCTGTGTCCTTTCTAGCACCTAGGATACACTCAGTACATGTCTGTTGATGATAATAAATGTAATTTAATCTCAGCAGATTGAGTTTTATGTGCCTGGAGTCATATTCATCTAAGAGTAGACTGTATTGAATTTTTACTGACCCCAGAGCGCAACCTGAAAATCAGGTATACTTTTTGTTTTTAACAACACTTTATATTAGCTTAAAAAAATTGCTTAGACTTTTTCTAAGAAGTAGAGTTCAAGGAGAGTCCTGATTAACCAACTCCCTTAGTTGGTTTGTCTTTGTTTTATTGAAATTGCCTTACTTAAAGGTGGCAGAAACACTGCAGTTTGCTGGCAAAATGAAGGGGATTTCTAGGAGACCTCTTTGCCATCCACATCAGAACCAAATGGGCTCTCTGGATCTCAGCTCAAAGCTGCTTGTGGGCAAAGGGAGGGAGAGGAAGAGAGCCTGTTGCTCAAACTGTGGCACCTTCAAGACCTCCAGGTGGACAGTTCCTGCCTCTGACCTGAATCTGTCTTCCCCCTCTTCTACTTCTCTATTCCCACCCTACACTGCCCCCCCCACCCCTATACTCAGGGCAATAGAAGAGCAGTCAGCAGACCCCAACCCCCTCTCAGAAGGCTACAATTCTCCATCCTCTGGGCCTGGGCTCCACCTGGGGGAAGCCCATCTGGGATTTAATCACTGCTCTAAATGAAAAGTTCATCCTATTTTCCATTCTTTTGCCCCGGGCAGCTTCTCCACCCCTCATTCCCTGCCCCCCCCCCAGCCCCCACTTCTTTCTCTCTGTCTCTCTCTCTCCTGACTTCCCTTAGAATTGCTCCACCTTCAATGGCTCCAGCTCTCTGAGCACTGGGCAGCCCCGCCCCTTACTCCCACCGAATGTACACTTCATCCTGCACTCCCTTCAGCCTCCTGTCTCATCTGTTCCTTCCCCTCGCCTGTTCCAGATGTCCCCTCAATAACTAGAGAGGTGAGTGTGGGTCTCTGGCTGTAAGGACATGGGGTTACCAGGAATCTCTACTGAAGAAGGCTGCAGAAAGCACCATAGAGCCCACATGGTGCCTTCCCCTATCTCAGTCTCTGCTTCTTCAGTCCTACCTTCTGACCTGCTGACCTAACCTCCTTGTGGCCACTTTACCCTGACCATGCTACTCAGAGGGAGCCTCGGTTTTTAACTGTCTATCAGTGCCTTCAAGTTGGACCCTCTGTCTCTATATGACTTTCAATCTGGGGCTTATCTTTGTTTTTATTTTTTATTAACATATAATGTATTACTTGTTTCAGGAGTACAAGTCTGTGATTCATCAGTCTTACACAATTCACAGTGCTCACCATAGCACCTGCCCTCCCCAATGTCCATCATCCAGCCACCCCATCCCTCCCACCTCCCTCCACTCCAGCAACCCTCAGTTTGTTTCCTGAGATTAAGAGTCTCTTATGGTTTGTCTCTCTCTCTGGTTTCATCTTGTTTCATTTTTCCTTCCCTTCCCCTATGATCCTCTGCCTTGTTTCTCAAATTCCTCATATCAGTGAGATCATATAATAATTGTCTTTCTCTGATTGACTTATTTCGCTTAGCATAATACCTTCTAGTTCCATCCACATCGTTGCAAATGGCAAGATTTCGGGTTTTTTGATGGCTGCATAATATTCCATTGTATATATCTACCACATCTTCTTTATCCATTCATCTCTTGATGGACATCTAGGCTCTTTCCATAGTGTGGCTATTTTGAATATTGCTGCTATAAACATTGGGGTACATGTGCCCCTTTGGATCACTACATTTATATCTTTGGGGTAAATACCCAGTAGTGCAATTGCTGAGTCGTATGGTAGCTCTATTTTCAACTTTTTGAAGAACCTCCATACTGTTTTCCAGAGTGCCTGCACCAGCTTGCATTCCCACCAACAGTGTAGGAGGGTCCCCCTTACTCCGCATTCTCGCCAACATCTGTTGTTTCCTGACTTGTTAATTTTAGCCATTCTGACTGGTGTGAG